CTGCTCCCAAATCTTTCATTTCAAATTCACTACTCAATTGCATTTTCAAAGTGTGAATTTCTGACAAATTCTTAGCTGCAATAAGCATGTCATCAACATAAAGCAACAAATATACAAAAGAGCCATCAGTTAACTTCCGGAAGTAAACACAACTATCATACATGCTCCTCGTGTAATCATGACCCAACATAAAAGAATCAAACCTCTTATACCATTGTCTTGGAGATTGCTTCAATCCATACAAGGATTTCTTTAACAAGCAAACATGGTCTTCCTTACCATCAATTTCAAATCCATGAGGTTGCTCCATATAAATTTGTTCTTCAAGTTCACTATGTAAGAAAGCTGTCTTGACATCAAGTTGCTCCAATTCCAAATCATACATAGCAACTAAAGCAAGCAAAACACGAATAGAGCTATGTTTAACAACAGGTGAAAATACATCATTAAAATCAACACCATGTACTTGACTATAGCCCTTTGCAACCAATCGTGCTTTGTACCTTGCATCTTCAACCCCTGGAATACCTTCCTTCGTTTTGAAGACCCATTTGCATCCAACAATTTTCTTACCCGAAGGCGGCTTCACAAGATCCCAAGTTCTATTCCGATGGAGAGACTCAATTTCTTCATTCATCGCAATCAATCACTTAGCGGAATTATCACAAGAAACTGCATCTGAGTAGGAAGTAGGCTCACCAACTTTACTTATCTCTTCTACAACAGACAAAGCATATGCAACCAAATTTACATATCTTTGTGGTGGTCGAATATCTCTCCGTGGTCTATCCTTGGCTATGGAATATTGCTCTTCTTCTGGATCATCTGCGTTAGTAGACTCGGGACCATCTATTGGCATTCTTTGAGTATAAGAGTTCGACTTAAAAGAATCTGAACTACCAATCTCAAGCTCCACCTGCTTCTGCGCACTATCATTTGTACAACTAGTAGAATCCTCTTTGGAAGATAACATAAACAATTCATCAAAAGTAACATCTCTACTGATTATAAATTTTGGGGATTTGGGATCAGAACACCATAATCTGTATCCTTTCACCCCAGAAGCATACCCAAGGAAAATGCACTTTTTAGCTCGAGGCTCTAATTTTCCTTCATTTATATGCATGTATGCTGGACACCCAAAAATTTTTAAATCAGAATAATCAGCAGGAGTACCTGACCAAACTTCATCCGGAGTTTTAAAGTTAAGTGCTGTAGAAGGAGCACGGTTGACAACGTAACAGGCCATATTAATCGGCTCTGCCCAAAAGTCCTTTGTCAACCCTGCATTTGAGATCATACACCTCGCTCTCTCTAAGAGTGTTCTGTTCATACGTTCGGCCACACCATTTTGCTGAGGCGTCATCCTAACAGTGCGATGCCGAACGATTCCTTCATTTTTGCAGAATTCTTCAAAGTCACCTTCACAAAATTCCATGCCATTATCTGTTCGAAGCCGCTTAATCTGTTTACCTGTTTGCTTCTCAATCAAACCCTTCCATTGTTTAAAGGTTAGAAAAACATCATTTTTATGCTTCAAAAAATAAACCCAAACTTTTCTGGAATAATCATTAATGAAAGTCAACATATACTTGGCACCACCCTTAGACTGAACATGAGCTGGACCCCAAAGGTCTGAATGAATATAATCAAGAGTACCTTTCGTTTTGTGAACTGCTAGAGAAGTGAAGTTGACTCTTTTTTGCTTTCAAAAAATGTAGTGTTCACAAAAATCAAGTGACTTAGTACTCTGTCCGCAAAGTAGACCCCTTTTGCTCAATATGCACAAACCTTTTTCGCTCATATGAACCAAACGCATATGCCATAATTTGGTGATGTCAGAATCAGACAATGACGATGACGAAACTGCAACAGAACCTGTGACAGTAGTTCCCTGCAAAATATACAAGCTATTAGACCTACAAGCTTTCATAACAACAAGAGCACTTCTAGAAACTTTCATAACTCCACCTTCAGCTGTGTATTTACACCCAAGGGCCTCTAGGATGCCTAAAGAGATGAGATTCTTTTTCAAATCAGGAACATGTCTAACATTAGTGAGGGTCCTCACAATACCATCATGCATTTTAATTCGGATTGTGCCTCTACCAACAACATCACATGCGGCATTATTGCCCATCAAAACAATTCCACCATTACAAGATTCATATGTGGAAAACAAATCCCTATTGGGACACATGTGATAAGAACAATCCGAATCTAAAATCCATTCATTTTTAGACATCGTCCTGTCATCAGTAGCAAAGAAAATATTTTCAATATTCTCATCAGATGCTACACTAGGTTCAGCGGACTCAGTAGTTTTCTCAATAAGTTTTCCTTTTTGCTTTAATTTATTTTTCAATTTAAAGCAATCAGTCTTAATGTGTCCCATTTTATGACAATATCTGCATTCCAAATTTCTATGTCTGGATTTAGATCTAGATTTAGATCTACTATTGTCAAATTCTCTTGTATCTATTCTCTCCCTAACAACCAGACCTTCAGCCTGATTCTCTCTACTTTCCCCAGTGATATCCCTGTCTATCTGCTCCTTAGATTTCAGTGCAGATTTAATTTCTTGATACGAAACTGTTTCTTTTCCATAAATCAAAGTATCACGAAAATGTTTAAAAGATTGGGGAAGAGAACACAAGAGTAATAAGGCCTTATCCTCATCATCAATCTTTGCATCTATATTCTCCTAATTCATAATCAAAGAATCAAATTTATCAAGATGCGAGAGTATAGATGTATCTTCAATCATCCGAAGCATATATAGACTCTGCTTCAAGTAGAGACGATTCTCCATTGTCCTCTTCATGTACAAGGCTTTAAGCTTGTCCCACATGCTCTTAGCCATAGTCTCCATAGCTACCTCCCGCCTTCTTATCCATACCCGTAAAATCTTCCTTTGATGTACCATCTGGAATGTTCTCAGCTCCCTGTAGTGTCAAATCAACTCCGTCTTGAACCAGAATGACCTCCATCTTGAGTTGCCACAAGCCGAAGTTGACATTTCTGTCGAATTTCTCGACAATAATCTTTGTTATTGTCATCGTTGCCAAAAGATCCCAGAACCAGGCTCTGGTACCAGTTTGTTAGAGCTAGCCCCAGAAAATTTACCACAAGGTAATTTTGACAATACAACAAAGACAATAAAGCGAAAAAATAAAAGTGACAAGAATACCAGATTTACGTGGTTCGGTCAATTAACTTTGACCTACATCCACGAACGAAAAAAGAGCAAATCACTACTATGAAAAGGGACAATTACAAATGCCTTAGGAAGATGTTCCTAGGCCATAAAATCCCCGAAAATACTAAACAAGAAAAACACAAAGTATAAGTCTAAACTATTTAACTGAGTATGGACTTAAACCAAAGTAAATACATAGGTTTTCTTATGGTGCTACTTGTGGTGTATCTAACTTCAAAGTCCAAGCCCTTATTTATAGTTCCAATAGGAGATAACAAATCTGATTTTTTCGATGTGGGACTATGGGACTTGCCAAACTAACCGTAGTGAGAAAAGGAAGATACTGACCAGTTGAGGAATGCAAGTCTAATTCTGTACCGACATGCACTTTACAGCATGAGCTTGGAAAGACCAAAGTTAAATTTTTGTTATATCCAATTATAATCCAAGTCTAATGTTGTTGTATTGATCTCTACATAATACTGCATTGATACGTACATAATACTACTGCATTCACCAATTTAACAAATCATTCAAAGCTGTTGCTGGCCGACAAATGATCAATTTGCCTCAAAGCATATTGCGTTAATGAAGTATCCATTCATTGCATTTCATCAAGAGTACAACATTCAGACACTATCCAAAATTTATTACCACAAATGGACATTCATTAGACATCAAAATTGCATAGAACTGGATATTGCAACCTTACACCCACATCTAACAATGACAAAGACAAAGACCTGGATATAGAACTTATGAACTAAGAAATAACCCAACCTAGGCCAAGACAACATTTTAAAGCTTCTGAATTGATGATGCAATCATGTATGCCTCTTTATTTGAATTAGCTGTCCAAATAATATATATTGCAATCCAACAAATGATCAGAGCTCCCCAGTATAATTTCTCCATTGATCTACTTCTGGCTAACTCCACTTGAAGCATTTTCACTTTTCACAACAGACCTAAAATTACTCTCTTTGCTCATTCACACAGATGGATTAATCCAAGCAAAGAATCGGCATTCCTCAGGTTTTGTTACACCAGAAACAAATTCCTTGTCAGCATCCCCCATATTCAAACATAGGTGGATCAATAATTTTCAGTAAAAAAAATACATGTATACAACAAACAAAGATAAAATCATTAGAATGACAAAAATATAATTGGTTGTCCAACTCACGTGTAATTTGACACGAAGCAAATCTCTTTCCAGGGTTCTCTCCTCTGTCCACCTCACCATAAATCACATGCCATAATAGCATAATACATCAGTATTTGAACTCAAACTTGAGATTGCAATATTGTAGAGGATAATTTATTAATTGTGAAGAAGTTTACTACAAACCCTAGGAGAAAGATTTGGGAAAGAACAGTGAGGAGTCAATGAGAGGCCATTCAATCAAAGTCAATCACCCCTGGTATCAATGGGTTAATGGGGTGAAATGATTGTTTTGTACTCACTTAATCATCAAATTAGCACATTATGTCACGTGTAGAAGATTTCATTAAAAAAAAATATTATTATTAAAAATTAGATAAATTATAATAATTTTAAAATTATCAAAATATCAATATAACTCTTAAAAGTACAAGAACCATGAGACCCAACTACAGGAGAAAATATGTAATTGGCTTTACCATCAGGCATAACATCATGGATTTTAGGCTCTCTTTAGCTTCCTCCTATAGAAACCACCAGAATTGGGATTCAGAATGCAGGCACAAGAAATCTTGTATCATCTTCGTGCTGATGTATCCATGAACAAGACCAAAGAAGAAATGAAGGACAAAAACAGTTCAATTTCCTCTGTTTATGGCATCCCCATGTTAGAGTAAATCTTGCACTTGTTTATGACAGATTAATGATCACTAGACTTGTGAGAAGCAATTGAAGCACTTCCAGTACTCTCATCAAGGAAGGTCATGGGGAAGTCTTCGTCGAAGGCACAGCTCAGGCCATAGCCATATGCGATGTTGATACCCTCAGCCAGTGGCAAGAAGAGATCGGAGTATCGGGCACTGCCGACTACAATGTCTGGCACGATGGAGTCAAAAATCCCCTCATCTGCAGGTGCGACACAAAGCTCTGCACTTCCTGTCTTCTTCGCCCTAATGACCTATAAAACAGTGTGCCAGTGCAGAAAGATCATGGTGAAGAGAAACCAATCGAGGCTGGGGAAAGGAGCATACGTATCGGTCTTTGCTGTCATCCTTATATATCAAGATAAAATCTCCAAGCTGAAGACAGTTCTTCTTGACGTAGTCCCCTTAAAAATGAATTCAAACACTGATCAAGTTCGAATAGGCACATCTGTGAAGCAGCTGAGGTCTCAGATGGTTGGGTTATTGTTTGTGAGGAGGAGCTCACCAGTGTTCTCCAGTACGTACATCCTGCTCCTATTATTAGGCCAAAATCTGTTGAAGATGTGAAAATGTGAGATGCTATAACAGATGTAGATTTACGGAGCCAATGATGTGAACAATGACCAACTGGGAGAGTACAGAGGTTCACCATCACAAATTTTTTATTACTTCTTAACAAGAAGAAGAGCCTTTCCTGGAGAAAAATAAGTAATCAGAAGCCAGCATGCTTATTATCGATTCTGGCTAGCTAGTATCTATGATGATTACTTGTGTTTTTACATATATATCATTGTCATCAAACAGAAGGGAAACACCTATCTTTTTTCCAGAGAATATATATTAGGGTTGGTCAGTATTTAAGATTCTACTCCTGAGGAGTAATAGTTAGATTATAACTAGTTGATGAATTAGAATTAGAATTTAGATTATATGTAAGAAGAGAAAGTCTTTAGTGAATTATGATTTGTTCTTATAAACACACCATATATCTTATGATTTTAGTGAAAAGAAGAAGCATAGAGAAAGGTATTATGGGTGTTCTAGATTTTCTCTGGAGTATCTCTAGATTTTAGTGAAAAGAAGGGATATGGGTGTTCTAGATTTTCACTAGAGTATCTCTAGTGAAAAGAAGAAGCATAGAGAGGATTGAGAGAGGAGTTCCACCACATTTATATGAGAGAGTACATTAGAGAGGATTCTGTTATTGGGATTATATTAACTCAAAGCAAAGTTATTCCTTGTTGATTTTTTTTATATAGTGACGAATTTGTTTTCTCTATGAATATAGGTAGAAAGTGGTAAACAACAATGTAGATCTTGTGTCGGCGTTTTTGGATTTAATTTCCTCTCCTCCTCGACAGTAAATTCACTGCGCACCTTCATGTTGATCAAATTGGATGCGATTATGCAAAAGTGCAGAACAACATATAGTTTGCAAAATGCAATAAATAAAAACTCAAAAGAAGCTTAAATAGCTGCATGAGACCTGTATTTGAAGGTCCAGGCTTGAAGGTTGTCCGGATCATCCATGTTTATCATAATGCCTTCCCTGGATGTCAGGCAGGGAAGGTGGGCCTCTGCTTCTTTCTGGAAATTGTTACAAGAGGAGATAGATGATGCATAATTTCAGCAATTTGGAAAAATTTTCGGAGAAGCTATCAACAGTGTAGACCTTTGGCAGAACAATTCTTCCGAGTTGGCTAACATCACTGTTTCTGAGCTCCTTTTGCAGAAGAAATCTCAACCCACCCACAGCTTGCTGAAACAAAGATGAGCAAGAATCTCAAATCTCTGCAGGAAGTAGTAGATACTCATAATTTTCAAGTGAACCTTACACCAGGATCAAGGGCTGGCACTCTCAAGTCCAGCACGGAGCCCTGATATAAGGACATGCATAATCCATTAGCCACTTTTCTTATAAAACTTTACATGGTTCAGCAACATTGAGAAAGCAATTAGCAAAGCTAGAAAAGGCCAAAACCATAACATGGAACCAAATATGAAAGGATAAGAATAATTACAAAAAGAATAAAAAAGTAAAACAAATATCATAACCTATGTCATGGGACTGCTAATTCACTACAAAGGTAAAGTTCATCTCAGGTGAATATTTTCAATTGACACAATCAGCATAAATGAAATGAAAAACCTGAGGGCAATACCCAAGTCTATTCAATTTGAAGCCAACAAATAAATAGATTAAATCCTGATATAGGAACAAATTCGGATACTTGTATTCTTCCAACATTAGATTGAAATTCATAGTCATCACAAAGAAATGTGATACCAGATGTGTTTGTGTATGTTTGTCTGAGGGTGAAAACATAACAGTATTAAGCATAATCAGGTTACAACTGAAGATTATATTTCTAACAATGTTAAGAACAATGACTGAGATCAAATTGCTCATTGATCATCATCACGAAAAGAACAGCAGAAACTTCGAGACTATTCATCAGTTATCTATTATACTACTTGACATTTCTATTTACTTTTTCTTTGAAAGGAACTTTTCCGTAAAGCCTACCCACATTGATCTCTTGTTCTGCATGAACATGGAAATGAGAACATTTTTCTCTGTTAAACGATATGGAGTCATTTTCAACACACAGAACAGTGAGATGCAGAGCAGATAAATCGCTTGCAACATCTAAAATTTTCATGATAGAGAGGGAGGGACGCGATGGACGGCCAAGATGGCGCATGCAAATGCCCATATCCGTCGAGCCCGTCAACCATCACGTGGTTCACGACGATTTAGACGTCGAACACCTGAAGAGAGTAGAGAAGAGGGTGGTGACCGGAAGGGAGGAGGCTTACAGATGCAGCATCGGCGTCGGCTGCTGCAACGCGACAACGGGGCTTTCGGCCGTGCTGCTTGGCGACCATCTTCCGCCGCCGTCTCGCACGGTGCTTGGCGACCACCACCTCCTGCTGCTTGTTGATCCCCCCCATGGCAGCTACTGAATGGCGACCGTCACTCAGCTAGTGGCTGGTGGTGATGAATACGAGAAGAAGGGGTTGGTTGAGATACATACAACAAGAGGAAAGAAGGGAAGACGAAGGAGGGGTTGGGAGATTGAGAGATAAATGGAAGAGGATAGCAGGGTGGAGATGGGGAATAGGTTCGTGAGTGGTGAATTCTTCTGAGGAAGAGCGGCCAAGTGGCGGAAGGGCTCTGACTCCTCTGCACCGGGAATCAATCAATGACCTCTTTTCTCTGCGCTCCGCCGCGCTTACACTCGTCCATCTCCCCTTCACCAGCTAGCTGCGGTCAATAGACGAAGGAGAGAGAACGGGAAGATGATAAAAAGGATCAGTGCAGCTGGGTTCCCTCGATCAGCACCCCTCGTCGTTCATGGCTTCAATGAGTAATGACGAATCCGACCCGAGGGGGAAAGAGAAAGTGGAGGGAGGCCTCTCGAAACTGGCAGCAGATTTAGGGCAGTATAGCAATTAACTAGTAAACCGTTACACTTCGAAAGGTTCCGAGAAATCCAGCAAGTCCCACAAGATTTTTGATGCTTCCGTTGGAAAATCGTGCACGGATCTGAAGGCTTGACCTGTATGCGTTGGTGGGGGGGCGATAACCATGCCGTTACTCTGTCAAGATCCAGGTTGCGAGCATTAGGAAATTTACACGAATCTCAAGGTTGGACTGGGCTGCATCTGCGGTGTACCTCAATCTGTCTAAAACATGGAGAAAAAGAAGGGATATGTGAATCTTACACGTATATCATCATAATGCAAACAACAAGTGAATCTAATATATCTCACTTTGTATCGTTTAGTTATATGTAGGCAAACTCTTTAGTTATATGGATGGTGTGCTAAATTCTTTTTTATTTTAATAATATTATTTTATCATTCATTATCTTTTCTTTTTCTATTAATGTTTAACGTGTGCTAAATTTGCTGTTCCATGATAAGAGATATGTGAGTTTTCTAATCCTAATCTTTGTTAAGAAGTTATATATTAATATTTAAGGTGTAAAAATATGTTGATTGAGGTTTCAAACTATTAGAATCCTTGCAGATTCTAAGCTTGGGGTTGATCTCTTTAGGGGATCGGCCTCCTTGGAACTCTATAAAGTTTCCTTCCTCCAAGTTACTACTACAGAAAAGATTCATCTATTGCTTATCAAAAGATGATGAATATATGACTATTTATAGGGTTTCTAAATCCTAACTCCTAATAGGATTCTTACTCAATTAAGACTCATACTCAAGACTCCTAATATGAGTTCTACTCAAGACTCATATTCCTTTACAACTCCTAATTCTTCTATTAGAAATAACCTTCAAATCTTAGCTGACCTCTTCACCTCTTTAATAAGGGTCGGCTTAGGTTAGTTTTACATGAATGCCCCTCTCAATTAGGACTCTCCTAGCTAGAGTCCTAACAGACCATCCCTCTTCAAATCAGCCTTGTCTTCGAGGCTAATGATTCATAAATTCTCGAAATTTGATCTTCAAGTCGTTATAGTTCTCTCAAGTGGCATCTTTTGTTTGTAGGTTCATCCACTATATTAGCATTTCAGTAGTGGGTCATCATCGTCGAGTAACAATCCATCGATCAATAATGACACTTGGCTAGGTCTGAAGTTCTCCTTGGGTAGTCATATTTGGTAGGTGGCTTTGGGCTATCTCTAAGCACCTATTTATAACTTTCGTCTGGCCGTCGATTTTTGGGTGATATGTTATACTTTTTTTTAATTTAGTACCCTACATATGAAATAACTTTGTCCAAAATCTGCTCGTGAAGATGCAAGTAGAATTTGTCACAAGCACAATGCGTCCCTTATAGCGTAATTCTTTTGAGTCCCAATTGTAATGAGCCACGGAGCTTGGTGCTTCCTCCAATTTTTTTATGATCTTACTAGTCTCCAGATCTTCCTACCATTGCCTCTTGATATCCTTAAAGAAGTCACTAGTCGAAAGTGAAATGACCAAATATTAAGCTTGCTTGGGTAGTTGTGAAAGCGTATATGCAATAACATTCTATTTTTCCTTTTTATAAGTTATTTCATAATCATATCTAAGAAGCTTTATTATCCATTTTTATTGCTCAGGGGAAGATATCTTTTGCTCTAAGAAATATTTTAGACTTTTATGGTCGGTCTTGATTTGAAAGCATCGCCCGATCAAGTACGATCTCTACCTCGTTGCTACGTGCACAATGGTGAGCATCTCCTTATCATATGTTGATATGTTTTGATAGGAGAGAGACAATACCTTATTAGTGTATATGAGTGGTCAACCATCTTGCATGAGAACATCTCCAATTACGACATTAGATGCATCGACCTCAATGATGAAGGGTCGGTTGAAATATGGTAGTGCTAGCAACGGCATCGTCGTCATGGCTGCCTTAAGTTTGTTGAACGCAGCGAAGGCTTTGTCTGACCATTGAAAGGTATCATTTTTTAGTAAAGAAGTGAGTGGCGCACTAATCTTTCCATAGTTTTTCATGAACTTACGGTTGTAGGCTGTTAAACCGAGAAAGCCACATAGCAATTTTATATTCCTCGGGGTTGGCCAGTTCTGCATTACTTTTATTTTGGAGGGGTCCACCGTCATACCTTCCTCTGATATTATATGCCCAAGATATTTTACCTTTTGTTGAAGAAAGCAAAAATTCGTAGTAGCCGTTGTGTATTCAAAAGGCGGTTTTCGGTATGTCTTCTTCGCATACTCGTATTTGATAGTTATATCATTGAGAGCTTAGTAATCAATGCATATTCGTCATGTTCCGTCCTTCTTGCGTACAAGTAGCACATGTGTAGAGTAGAGTCTGCAACTTGGCCGAATAACTCTTGTTTCAAGCATCTCTTTTATAATTCTTTATATTTCATCCTTCTGGAGATGTAGATACTGATATAGCCAAGTATTTTCTGGAGGTTTGCTTGGAAGAATCGTTATATAATAATGATGCCGATGGGTAAGAGGTAGGTTGTGCAGTTTATCAAATATATCTAAAAATTTAGCAAGCAAAGGAAGTAAGTTTGGATCTTCAAATTCTATTGGCTCTCCTTTAGTTTGCTGCTCAAGTTTACCAAAAAATCGTTGTATGCTTTATGCAAAACCTTCTCCATTTGTTGTGTACAAATCGTCGTTACATCGCCCTCACGTTTCCCGTGCAGTATCACCTATTTCCCCTTATTGTAAAATTCTAGAAAACATCACCTAATGTCGTCAACTATTCAATTCTGAGCATGGCCTCATGATCATCAAGAGGGAGGAGGAAGAAATATGCAATTATCTCTTGGTCCTACAGTAACAGTTTCACTCGCGGGTGCCTACGATCATACTTCAAAATCCATCCGTCGGTGACCTTAACATCAAACTGTTGAAAATCATATTTTGATAATGAAACCACTTGATATGTGTTTATATTTTAATCTGCGTTTTGAGTGACGCAGGATGCTTCGATCAGGATGAGACAATTAAAGCAAGAAAGATCATGTTGTGCCGGAGGAACATGTCAGAAGATTGGACGTCGGGCCGATGGATCGGTCGACGTATCGACAGAAGGCTTCAGGCCGTGGACTTGGGCATTGGGCCAAGAAGAGCGGGTATTGCGCCAAGGATATCGGAGTTGCGGAGTCAATTGGCCGATTGGACAATAGGCCGCAGGAGAGGACGATGCGCCGAAGAATCGGACGAAGCGTCGAGGGACCAATGACATACCGGACAACTTAGTTAATTGCTTAGGATTAATGGTCTCGATCGAAGTTTTGTTTTAAGTGTGCAGGATTAACTACGATGAAAGTAAGACATGCAGCAGGAGTTGAGCCAGAGTCAAAGACTATGATCACGTTGGGAGTTCGAGAGCTCGACGGAAGTCCGGACGGTCGTCGGAGGTTCTGCGGGAACAAATCCGAGAAGTCTAGGAGCTTGCCAAAAGAAGCTCATCGGAACTCGCCAAGTGGATCGTCGCAAGTCCAGGAGTTTGCCGGGAGTCCGTCGGAGCATCGCCGGAGGTTCGTCGGATGTTCGCCGGAAGAAGCGATTGATGTTGAATCTCGGATTTTGATGATGAAGTCAATTGTCATTTGTTGTCTAATCTATGTGTTGAGATAAGTGTGTAGGATTAACTACGATGAAAGTTAGACATGCAGCAGGAGTTGCACCGGAGTCAAGACAATGATCACATTGGGAGTTCGAGAGTTCGACGGAAGTTCGGATAGTCATCAGAGGTTCTGTGGGAACAAATCCGAGAAGTCCATAAGCTTGCCAAAAGAAGCTTGTCGGAACTTGCCAAGTGGATCATCGCAAGTCTAGGAGTTTGCCGGAAGTCCGCAGGAGCATCACCGAGGGTTCATCGGATGATCGACGGAAGTTCGCCGGAAACTCGTCGGAAGAAGCGATTGACGCACCAGAGCAAGCTGTAGAAATTGTCTTAGGATTTATCGTAGTTAGCACAATGATTAAGTTGGAAATGGGAGGTGATCCCATTAGCTTAATCTTGGGGCAATTGGGCCCCTGACAAACCCAAATTGGGCCGAATGGATCTACCCATTCAGACCAGAATTCCTACTAGGCGGTGGCACCGCCAGGGTCGGTGGTGGCACCGCCCAAGAGAGGGTCTCCCAGGAAAGCTGGACGGTGCAACCGCCCCAGGTAGGCGGTGGCACCGCTTGGGCTCAGTCTCCGAGTGAGACTGGGAGGTGCAACTGCCCCTGAAAAGCGGTGGCACCGCTAGGGCTTAGTCTCCGAGCGAGACTGGGCGGTGCAACCACCCCTGTCAGGCGGTGGCACCGCCCAAAGGCTCAGTCTCCGAGCTCTACCAAGCAGTGCAACCACCCCTGACAAGCGGTGGCACCGCCTATAGGCTCAGTCTCCGAGCTTTGCTAGGCGGTGCACCCGCCAGACCTCGGAATTCCGGGAGATGACAGTTTTGAGCTCGGAATTCAAACTGGTTTGGAGCCTATAAATACCCCTCCCATCCCTGGGTAAAATATACAAGCATAGAGAGATTAAAAGAGAGAAAACACTGCTGCAATCTTTAGAATTTCCCTCCTCTAGCTTAAGTGTTAGAATTCTGTTTAAGAGAGGAGAGTGAGTGCTTGTAAGGGTTGTCTCCTAAACCCAGTAAAAGGAGAAGAGGGGTGTAAGAAGAAGATTGATCTTCGCCTAGTAAAGGAAGATCATTAGTGGATGCTAGTGGCCTTGACGGAAGAGGAATCGGAGGAGTGGATGTAGGTCACGATTGACCGAACCACTATAAACTC